GGGGGAAGAGAGGGGGAAGAGAGGGGGAAGAAAAAGGGAAAGGGAAAATTAGATTATGATGACTGGTGACAAGTAAAATCAGGACAGCATATCACTCTACCTCCAAAATTTGAAATCAAGTCCTCTTTACCTCAAAAAACACAGTGCTGTGAATCATTACACTGTTATCCTAATTGTAGGTGTTACAGAACAACAACATGGCATATGGAGTATGCTATATTTAGCATATGATGGCAACAAACTATAAGGTTTGTTCTTTTTCAAGTTTGTTTTTTGTTGTTTTTTTATTTTCCAGGAAGAAGTTCCTAAATATGATAAAATCTGAGCGCATCTGTATCATCTCAAACTCCTGTCAAGTGTATAATGAACTTCTGTTATCTGCGATCAGAGATGGAGCTCTTTGGTATCAAAGAATTGCTGCTCTTTGCAACTATGTATAAAAAAAAAACCCAAACCAAAAATCTATACCTTCAATACTTGCCATTTACTGCCCACAGTGAGTCAAATGTCACTTGCAGTAAAGAAGTAAGAGCTGAAGCCTGTCCAAAAGTCTTATCATAACACAAAGTCTTCAGTACTTTAACAGTAATCAAAATGTCTAGTAACAGAGCAAGAAGTTCAAGTATTCTTTTTTGCCTACTCTAATACTAAGGGTTAGACATTCTTTAATATAGTGTTCGTGAACTGAAATTAAATATCACTGAAATTTCTATGAAATTTCTAGGGAGCACTAGAAGGGCTCACACATCACTTTTCAAGTTTTCACAATGGAATGTACCGACCAAATTCCAAGAAAAAACAAGTTTGAGACAAGCCACATATTCAATCAAATGTAAAAGAACAGAGGGCTATAATATGTGTGTTTAAAAATGAAAACACACTCTTTCAGTTTCCATACCTGGCTAGTATCGACAGGGACTGGAGTGAAAGCTGCTTGTGACAGAGAAATAGTGGGCCCCAGTAGGTCTCTGGTGTAGCTGCGGTCCTGCTTGTACTCCCGGCTGTGCTCCACCTTCAGCTTCTCCTTGGGCAGCACGGCTTCAAAGCATGGGGCATACCCAGGTGGAGGAAGGAACTTGAACTCTCCGTGGCGACCTCCAAGAAGGAAACGTACCCTGCAAACATCAGCGTTATGTTAGATAACCGAGACACATCTGATGTCAAACTTCATCAGTCTGTAAGCCTAACTACTGACTGCTATTCTTCTAAAACAAGAAAAAAAACGAAAAAGAGTCTTGCAGATTGTTTCCATTGTTTACAGTTTAACTTTCCCTAACTAGTGCTGGAGTTTATTGAGTAGGAGGTGCAAAAACAGATGGGGAAAAGGAAGCAATTCTTTCTTCTAGGTAATTTTCACTTCCAGAAATGTATTCTAACTCATGAGACCAAAGCAGACATAAAGCAAATAATCAGTTCACTTAGCACACCTATGAAGTAAGCAGCAGACTATCGAATCTGAGGGGGCAGAGGTTATAATCCAGAGTGATCAACCACTTCTGAACTCTCTCCACTGAGGAGTTCTCCAGTGTCTTTCATTTGAGAAATGAGCCTAAAAACTCTATGGAATTTCTATGGAGATTCCTATAGAACTCCTAATTTCTATAGAACTCTATGGAGTTCTTTCTTTTCTCTCACAGAACACTAAATCCTTAGGACAGAACATAAGAATCTCCCATGTTTTCTCCCCTGAAACATTTGTAAATGAAACTTGTAAAGTTAGTTGAAACCTAGGGGAACGTATTCTTTTTCCATTACAAAATGGTGAGTTTGTCATGGTTTTTTGTTACTGAAAAAAAAAATCAATGAATGAGGTGATCATGAAGTAGCAATGACATAATACTGCAAGATCTTCCCAGATTGCCCTCCAGAAAGAATCAAAAAACACCCAAAAAACTAGCTTTACAACAGAATATTTTTCTCTCTTTTCTATTTACTGAGAGTATCTTGTAAGATTTTTGTCAATGCTATACCAGAACACTTTCCAAACCACAGTAAGCATCTGAATAATATCTGTCTGATACATCTCTCATGACAGAGACAAAGCATGACAGTTTCTAGTTTTGCATTTCATAGCACGCATGTCTGTAGTTTCGCCACATCTCCCGCACTGCCCAAGGCAAAGCCTGAAGAAGTGCACATTGCCTCCAGACTGAGAGCCTGACATAACCGCTGCAGAAGCTGTTGGCTTCTGTAGTATTCGCCATTGCTCCGTCTCCAACTGACACCAGCTTTCAGCATTCAACTTTGCCAGTCTCGATAAAGTTGGTCCCCCTCTTGGAACATCATACAATCCTTTTTGTCATGTTATAGTCTCAAACTATTCAATACATGAAAGCAGAAGTCTGGCATGTCCAGTGTGACTTAAAATTTTTAGAAAAACAGTAGAGCAACCAGAATACAGATTGGCTGAATTAATCTTAACTCATC